GCTCCTGCTGTCGAGTTGTAATACCTGAATACCTTAACGCTGTCGGCACGTGGTGTGCGTCGCCCTCCACCCCCCTGTCCCAGCGCCGGGAGGTGTTACGCAGCGAAACGCCCTCGGGGATCCGCCCCGCTCCGTGGCCTCCTCGTCTCCCATCACTTGGCCCGTATTAACCTCTCACACCCGGGCAGTTTTATGCCTATGAAGGTCTTTGCAGAGGAGGACGTCATGTCTGCACTGGAGCCACAAGCCGCCATGCCATTTCCCTCCCGCCCGCAGTCACCTCCTCCCTCCTAATGCCTCCCAGGGCCAGCTCACTCTGCTGCACAGGGAAGAGGGTGGTGTGGAGGATTGAGCTCAGCTCATCCTGCAGCCCTGGGGCTCTGCACCCCCCCAGAAATGCCAGGATCAGGCAGAATACTGGGCTATGAGCTCCCGAGCCCCAAGGGGACCCGGCACTGACACAGGCACAGGCTGCCTGAGGTGCAGACAAGGGGGCTTCCGTTGTCGTGCCCTGGCTGGGCACAGGAGAGGGAGAGACAGAAGGCGGAATTCAGCCCGCTGACATCTCTTGAGTGCCTATCAGGAATTTCAGATTATAACCTTTGCTCTGGGTTTTTATTACTTGCCCCTTCTGACGGCGGAAGAGGGCATGCTGCAGCCTGCATGTGGCTCTAGGCCAGGTCTGCTCCTCTGGAGCTGGTGCTGAGGTTCCCAGCAGCTCAGGAGCCAGCACTGCTCAGCTGCTGAAGCACTTCACTGTCCGTTGCTTGGTGTTCCCATCTCAAGCTCCTCATCTTCCTCCTCTGACCAGCTCAAGCTGTCATCCAAGTCCTCTCCCTGCGCTGCCTCGGGCTCCTCTGTGTTGGCAGCCTCCTTCCCCTGCTCACCACAGGAGTGCAACCTACTCTGGAGGAGCTCCAGCCTGGCCCAGGAGCCAGGGCTGGCTTTGCAAAGTGTGATCTCCACCTTGGTAGGGACCATGCTCACAAAGCTCTTCTCTATTTCAATGACCTAGAGAGAGGGAAAGGTGCAGTGAGCTGGGCACAGGAGGGCAGGCAGCACACGCTCATCCTTCCCCAAACAGGCAGAGCCCTGACAGAGGCGAAGAGAGGAGAAATCTCCTCTCCTCATGTGCCAGAAGATAGAGCAGGATGAAACCTGCGCTCCAGCTGAGCTTCACGGTGTTATAGACAAGCAGCACCGCACTGCTGGTCCAGAGCTCAGGAGAGCTCAGCTAGTCGCAGCCCCGTGCATGGCTACAGTACAGCCCTCTCCCCATGGCAGCGACCTATGCTGAGACACAGACATACCTGCACTCTGCAGCACGCACCAGAAATAAAGGCAAGAAATGCATGTGCAAATTTCTGAGTCTCACTGCTCCTCCCCAGCCATCAAGCAGCTGAGAAATCAGAAAGGGAGTCTCTGCTCCCACACTGCTGCCTGCCTGCAGACACAGCAGGACTGCAGGGGGAGATGGGGACCTGCTGGGCCAAAGACCCTTTGGGGCAGGCTGGGACCAAACCCAGAACACCTACAGAGCTAGCAGCGACGCCCAGCTTTGCTCTTAGTCCAGGATTCATCAGTGCAGCCACCAGCAGCCTCCAAAACAGCCCTCCTCACAACCCCTAAAGCATGTTCTAGCAGAGATGGCTATAAATGGGCAATCTGGCTCCCATGTGATCCCAACAAGAGAAAACCAGCATTGTGGCAGTGTGTAGAGTGTAGCCAGGGTGCCTCAGGTAGTGCAGAGCAGTCAGATGGGCACCAAGCACAGGCACAGTCCTGGTATGCTGTGCTATCACTATGGGGGATCAGTAGAGAAAAACCTAATTTCCCAATCAGCCTTTGTTGCTATAGAAAACTGGAGCTCTGGAGATAAACAAGTCCTCTCTGCTGCGACAGCCGTGGTGGACCTGTGTTGTCCGCAAGGCTTCAAGAGCTGGCAATGAATCACACCAAGGGAGGGAGTATGAAACAGCTGTTTGTTCCACAGATGTGCCAGCTGGGGAAGAGATGGTGTCCTGGGGGCCACAGCATTTCTATACAATAATACCATCAAAGTCTGCCTCATGTTCCATCCAGAGGAAGGACTGTGCAGAAATTGCAGCAACAGCCATTTTGATGCTTTTTTCAGAGGTCTGAGAATCCTGACTACACAAAAAGTAATTTTCTTTACTGGGAGCCTGTGTTTGGGGCTGCAAAACACTTCTCCCAGAGCACAGGCTGCCTCACAGCATTGCAGCCCAGCACTATGCAGACTACTGGAATAGGGAAATCAAAGTAAACAGGATCTTACCCCCCAGAGATCCAGTTGTGCTTGGAAAATCTTGTTCCCTTCAAAGATGATGTAAACCTCAAGCTGGAAGATCAACAGAAAATTCAGTGCTGGGTAGCACAGCACTGCCAAAGGTCTTCCCCCAGACAGCACAGCTGCCTTCCAGCACCGCAACGCAGCCCACATCCTGGCTTCGGTGTCACAGTCTGGCGATCCCCTCAGCGCCTGGGGGCGTTTCACCCCCTTCAGAGCGTGCTGGGTTCACCTCTGCCACCAGTCGAGGGATTCAAGGCCAGCAAAGCCACCAGGCTGTCAGCAGACAGCAGGTCAGCAGTGCCAACCCCAGCTTCAGCAACAGACCAAACAGGCCATCAAAGAGCACCAGGCACCTGGCCGGCTTCTGGCTGTTGGCTCCTCAAAATCAGGTGCCGTGCAAGTGCAGATCCCCAGCACAGCTCTGCCAGCCCCACTCACCGTGGTGCGGTTGGCTTTCACACTGCTGAGGGTGGGCAGGGGGTTCTTGGCATAGACTGTCACCACCACCTGACTGCTGGTTTGGTGCCAGTCCTGCCGACATGACACTTCCTTCTTGTCCTGCTGGGGAGAGGAACCTGTCACAGCATGGCGTCTAGCCCAAGCACACTGCAAACAGAGGGGATGTCTGTGCTGGAGAACGCTCCTTTGCACATCTCCTTCACAGAGCACCAGATGAGGTCAGCATCAGCTAAGCAAGATCAAACCCTGCCTTTCTTGTAGGTTTTTGAGGGGATGTGGTTCATGCGAAGGTGGCCAGCCCCCTGCCAGGCTGTCCCATGCAACATGGGGCATCTGTGCTGTGCTTGGGTTTGCTCCAGAAGGATGTGTTAAGACTAGAGACATCCCCTCCTTGTTGCAGAATCACTCTGCTGTGCCCAAGCTCATAGGTGCTGTGTACAGCCAGGAAACTCAGTCTGGAGGGCACTGCAGGGGCTGCTGCTGGACATGGATCATGCCATCATGCTAAATTTGGGAGACAGATGAGTCCCACCTGACCACGTTTCACCTTTCTTCCTCAGGGCCCCCACCTCATCCCTGCCGCAGGCAGCATTGGCCCCACCAGGCATTTCTGAGTGTCACCAGGAGGCAGAATCCCTGCAGCCCTCAGCATTGCCAGCCAAAGAAGTGCCCCAGGAGGAATCCCAGCCCTAAACTTGGGAGACTGTGCAAAGCATCTACATCACAACATCAGAGTTCATTCACTGCAGCCTCCTTTATATCCATGTTTTCTGCTCCAGGACAAACAACAGACTGGGCTCAGAGGGGGTTGCTCAGAGCAGTGCTGACTCAGAGGAATATGATGCATTTTCAGGGATATCCTGAGCCACTTTGGTGCAACTTTTGCAGCTCAAACCTGTTTCCAGCCAAGAGCTTTCCTGGGGAAACTTGCACACATGCACGGTATTGGGAATGGGGATCTTCTCCCCATTGCCTCACCACAATACTGTAGAATCACAGAATCATAGAATCATTCAGGTTGGAAAAGACCTTTGAGATCATCAAGTCCAACCACCAACCCTACTCTACCAAGTACACCCCTAAACCATATCTCCAAGCATCACATCTAAACGACCTTTAAACACATTATGGGATGGTGAATCAACCACCTCCCTGGGCAGCCTGTTCCAATGCATGTTGCTATGTAGATGAGGTCCCTCCTGTGAAGCAGCTGTAGAGGGAAAGCTCCATTAAAACCAAATTCAGTCATCTGCAGTCATCTGTCAAAACTTTTGAGTTGGGTTTTTATCTTTTTTTTTTTGCAGGGCTTTTCACATGCTCAGCTGCCTGTCCCTGTGTGGCAGCCTGCAGCGCTGGCTATGCCATGCCTGGGGCCAGCTCCTGCCTCATTCAGCTTCCTATTGCACATCTGCCTATTGGGTGTGAGAGCTGACACATTTTGTGAATGCAGGAGCAGCATTTTAAACATCAGATAGGTGAAGATTAGGCATTCATCTGCGCAGTCATCTGTCAGCAATTAAAAAAAAAATAAGAGAATTAAATGCAGAAGCCCATGTGAATGCAGACCAAGGGAAGGACCACTCCTCGGGTGCTAGTAATGGCACTTTGCTCACACAAGTCACCCCTGCTGAGAGCCCCCTTACCCCCTTCCCCATCCAGCAGTGCCACCCGCTGCTGCAACCCGGTTGCTCCAGGAAGGCGCTGAAGTCTGTTGTTTTGACTCCACAGCAGCTCCAGTACTTCATCCTGTGAAGAGTAGGGTGACCTGAGTGGGGAGCACCCACAGAAGCAGGAGAGGGGACCAAAGCAGGCTTCAGGGTGGCGGGAGTGAGGGGCTCAGAACAAGCAGCTCCCCCTGCCCACTTGTCACCTGTGGGGGTGTCACCCATGACTGCACCAGCTGTGCTGCTGAGGCCAGACAACCTTGCAATGCGGCACCTTTAGGCCTCAGCAGGGTCAGTTTGCTCCCCAGTGCAGGGTTGTTTCTTACCCCTCATGGAAGACAGGAACGCCAGGATGGAAACTGCAAACCTCTGTGTTGCTCTCTGGGCCCCAGTAGATCTGTGGAGCAAGCAGAGGAAAGTTTCAGCTGTGCCATTGGCCATAGCATGACATTGCACAGCCAGGCATCTGCCCATCGGTGCCCGTCCGTGCACAGGACACAGCATGATGCCCAACATGACCCTTTCACTGGGTCCAGCATCTCTGAGGAATTACACTGAGACTGTGCTCAGCCAGCAGCCTGGTATTGGTCCCTGCTCCCTGCTGGCAGGGCAGCCACCCTGGCCTCGCTGGGACCCCAGTGTCATTCCCAAAGCCCTGGCAGCAGCCCTTCCATATGCCCTCTCCCAAACACAGCCTGGTCCCATCCTTGGGCTGGGCAGCACCAGGACAGTGGACAAGTTTGGACACCGAAGAAACTCGCTCCAAGGTGCAAGGGGCTGTTCATCCATCCTGTCCTTTCCTCTGCTTCCCAGAACCTGTCACTCTCATGTCCTCATCAACCTCCTGCCTTTTGCTCCCCCCTCTGCTGCTTTCCAAGCATGCAGGCCCTCGAGCAACTTCATTACTTCAGTGCATACCTCAAGGCAGGCAGACAGTCCTACATAAGGCAGCTTTGGGGCAAGATAGGTGAGCTGTGTTGCATTAATTAAATGCAGGTGGAAATTATTCCACATGCATTTTACCTATATGCCCATATTCTCAATATGTGCTATATTTCATTGTGAGCAAATGGCAGCAGTTAAATGCAAATATACAACCAATCCAGGAATCTGTAAACCTCTTGCAGGAATGTGGCTGGGAGGCGACAGAGCTTTGGGGCAAGATAGGTGAGCTGTGTTGCATTAATTAAATGCAGGTGGAAATTATTCCACATGCATTTTACCTATATGCCCATATTCTCAATATGTGCTATATTTCATTGTGAGCAAATGGCAGCAGTTAAATGCAAATATACAACCAATCCAGGAATCTGTAAACCTCTTGCAGGAATGTGGCTGGGAGGCGACAGAGCCAGCCACTCCAGGGACAGGATGAGCAGGAGTGTATGGAGCCAATGAGCACTACCATCTCCCACCCACCCAGCACCCTACCCCACACCTGGTGGCAGCTGAGAGACAAGCCCCCATGCCAGACCTGCAATGCTCCTGGCCATGCAGCACAGATCATGCAAAGATGGGACTCTGCTGGGTACTCACCGCCTTGCAGGCTGCATTCTTGCAGGTGGTGCCAGCTCTCACCTGGGCAGCCGCCTCCCCTGCTGCAAGAGCAACACAGCTTCACCCCAGGGCACACGCTGCCCGCGCCTGCCCCTGAACCCTCCCCGCAGCCTCACTGCCAGCTCCCCAGCTTAGCAAGCGCAGTCCCTGAGCACAGACCATTGCAACGTGCCTCCAAGACACCCCTCTGTGGGTTTGCAGGTGGCTGAGCACGCAGCACGCACCATCCTGCACTGAACCTGCCATGCAAAACCCCTCGCCGAACTTGCCACATGCAACCTCACTGCCATCCATCAGCTCATCGCTACCTGTGCAACTGTCCTCAGGCGCCGCGTCCTTGGAGGACAGATTCAGTTTCTCCAGTGCCTGCTCCAGAGACCTGGATACTTTAATCGGCAGTAGTTGTCTTGACTCATCAGAGCTGGGAAACAGCAGCAGCAAAGGCTGAGTTGGGGTTTGTTTTGCAATTTAAGTGGCGCTGCCTCTCCTGAGGAAGCAGCGGGGCAGGACATGTGCAGAAGCAGCAGCACAGCAGAGCCACGCTGTTAGCTGAGCCCGTCTCACCTCGGCCTTTCCCGCTGCATCTTCTCAGCTGATTTTGGTCCTTGGATGATGAGCTTCTCCACTGGTTTGGCCTTCAGCTTGTCTGAGGTCTCCTCTTGGCTGATAGGCTGAGGGGGCTTCTCCTTGCTATGAAACCCTTTTGTACATCCCTAAGCAGCAGAGGCAAGCCTGACGCCTGCTTTGGCTTCCCTAACGTGATTTGCCAGCTCCCAAACCCAGAGCTTCTGTGCTCTGGTGGCTCTGTGTCTTGCAAGGATGGGCTCTGACCCTGCACCAGGGCAGAGGCTGTGTCTGCAGGGATTTCTGGGGACAAGATGGTGTGGCAGCATCACCAGGGCCATGGCAGACAGGTCTCAGCTCTGCTGCACCCCAGCCTGGCAGCTGAAGGGCAGCAAGAGTCCTCTGCATGTCCCTGGGCCTCTGCTGCCTCCTTTCTTGCCCCAGGACTGCTCAGACATTCACAGCTGTGCTGTTGCTTAGGGCATTTGTGTTTCTCCTGCAGGATCCTGGTGGGGGATCCTAGCCTCTTCAATCACCTTTCTCTGGGAGCGCCTGCCCTGCACTTTGGGAGCAGCACCCTTGCTTGCAGGTTCCTTGGAAGCAGATAGGGAATCCTAGGCCAGCAGGGTGAAGGGGGCAGCCTTGGCACAGGATGGGGACAGGACAGGACAGGACAAGGCAGGGGCAAGGAGGAGGGGATGGAGGAACAGTGGGTGCATTTGTGCTGGTGGCTTGCTCACCTTTATGGAGAGGAACTCAGAGAAGTCTGTTGTGCGTTTCTTGCAACAAGACCAGCCCTAGGCACCAGGAGACGACAAACAGGTCAGGCGTGAGCAATCCTGCCAGGCACAAGGTCCTTCCCTGCAGGTGCAGCCCCAGCTCCTGTCCCACTTACCTTCAGGGCATCGTGGAAGATGGGGACACCTGGGTGATACAGGCAGGAATCTGAAAAGGGAAAATCAGGCAGAACCTTTCAGGAGGAACAATCCTGCCCACGAGCCACCCGTGACACCTGGCAGCTCCTGAGCCAGCTCCTGCCTTGTGGTTGTCTGCGCTGGGCTCGGCTCAGCCCTGCTTGGCAGCTCAGGCTGCAGCATGGTGGCCAAGGCCGCAGACTGGGAAAGCAGCACATGTTCCCTCTCACCCTGGTGCAAGGCAGACGAGCCCACTTACCCTTGGTGTTGTGCTCAGGATCAAACCTCTGCCCGCAGCCCTTGTTGTAGCACAGCGCCATAGCTCAGGCGTACTCGTGGCGTCCTTCACTCCTTCCACAAAAATCCCACTAATATTAGCCCTGCCTGTGATCCCCCTCTGCTTCCCTGCAGTTTCCAGCCCAGACGCCGGGAGGTGGCTTTGCCTATTTTTGGAGGCAGCCGGAGGAGGTGGCTGGTAACCAGAGAGCAGGCTAAAGATGGACATAGCAGCTCGGCAGCTGACGGGACCCAGCGCCCATGTTATCTTGAGAGGCATTTCTGTCCTGCCCCTGCGCCCAGCAGAGGGAATGGGCGCTGCAGGGTGGCTCTGTACCTGGGGTGGGCAGAGGACCTCCCAGCGCCTGCCATCCCACCAGCGACTGGCATGGAGGCACTGGTGCCACCCTGGTGCTCACACTTGGCTTGGGGCAACCAGTGACTCCTCTTGACTAGCTGCTCTCGGTTTCTTTTGCATTTATAGAAGCAGCTGAAAGTTTCCTGAAAAAGAAGGGAAGAGACTTCCTGGAGTCCCAGGGCAAAACCTGTGCTGATTTCTCCCAGCCCCAAAAGGTATGACCATCTGCTAGACAGAGGCACCAGCGGACCAAAGGAGTGCATGTGGCCAAGACATCCTGTGATGCAGGATTTTGTGCAATCCAGGGATGAAATCTGTCCCCTGGAAGATCATCGTTGTCACAGAAGAAGAGCACAAAATATTACATGGGCCCCATGTACCCAGGAGGGGTTTGCTTGGACTCCCTACTCCAATTCTGGAACCAAGGGTTTTCCTCTACAAACAGGAAACTGTCTTGAGATTAAAGGTTTCACTTAGTACCTACAAGCATCTAAAACAAATATTATTTTCTTTTTGTTGTTCCTCTTTGCAGAGACAGCTGTTTCCTGGGTGCTGCTCTGACATGTTGGAGCACACAGCACCTGGAGAGCATTTCTGCTCAGGAATCGGGTTCCACATAAGCCATTGGCACTACCAGACAGTGCAAAGGGCAGGTCCTGCAGGCGACAGCTGCCCAGGGAGTCTGCTCAGGAGGAAACCCACAGGGTCTGCTGTGGCTGATGTTACCCCACTCTGGTCCCACTAGTTAATCCCTCTACAACAGCCTGCAGGATCTGCTGCCACCCCAAGAGGATCTCCAAAGTTCAGAGGATGAATCCTTGCTAAAATTCTGGAGCTCACCAGGAGATACCTCCAGGCTCCTTTCACACTGCCCTGCTGCTCCATGTCCAGCTCAGTTCTGCCGTCCCTGCCTTGAGATGCCCCAGCCAGCAGCAACGTTGGGCTTTTCCTTGTCAACTCATTAGCAAGGAAGATGGCCCCACTGGAGGGGAGGACACTTATCACCATCAGGCCTCCTTATACTTGGCTAGCCTGTATATAAACCCACATCCAACCCAAAAGCTAGGAGGGAAATGTGAGGGCACTGGGGAACCGTCACAGCAGCATGAGCCATGTGGCTGCAAGCTGATGCCTCCCTCGAAGGACTGCAGTGCCTCAAGACACAATAAATAACCCAGTGGTCCCAAAGGTGCTCTGCTGGCATCCAGAGCTTCTGCTCAGGCAGAGGGGATCACTTGAGACCCAGGAAGCCAGGCAGAGCCCTGTGACGGGGGCATTTGCAGTCCCAGGGGCTGAGCAGAGCTATAGGGTTTCAGATCTCCTTGTCCTTTCCATGAGCTGTCAGCAAGGCTGCAGCTGTCATCATTCCCGTGCCAGTGAGAATCTGGAGCTCACATTACCTCACATGCTTCAGAAGAAACGTCAAGAGGATGCTGTGGCTGACCCACACATTGAGGGTCATCGCAGAGAGACCAGCAGGTACCTGGGGGGAGGCCACAGCTGAGCAGAGCCCCCTCAGCACCCGAGGAACAGCGGCAGGGAGCTGAGAGCATGCAGCAGCACTGCTCTGCCCTTGCTCCTCTGCTGCACCGCTACAAATGTCTGCAGGGAATGAGGTGGCTTGAAAGACAGAACCTATTTGGAACATAGCACGGTGACATATGGTAAATCAGGGTGTCCACAGCTCCTGGCCCAAGAGGAGGCTTTGCAGGGAGGATAAGGTGAGGGGGTGCAGCGTGAGAGACAGACACAAGACATCCACCATGAAACAGAGATAAGCTCCAGGGGAACTGCTCGGTCAGCCACCAGCAGACTCAAGGTCCTGCTAGAGCTGGTGCGTTAAAAGTTAGGGAAAATGAGATGAAGTTCAGGTGATGGCAAAGAGCATGGTGGGCTGCACATCCATCACGCAGTGTCTAGTTTGAAGCTGTGGCTTCTGGCAGTTGCTTTTGGGCCACAGGGTTGCGTTGCTGAGTCCAGTCCTCCTCCAGGGCAGAGCTCCAAGTAAAGCAGAAGTCACCATATGAGCTGGCCAAGCATGGACTGTTGTGACCAACACCTTTGAAACAGCTTGTAAGGAATGGGCCAACTGAGAATTAAAAATAAAGCCTGTTTGGTTTATGTGCACTCAATTTGATACATAACAGAACAAAAAAGGAGACAGGAAATGATGGGGGTGTATGGGGGATGGATGAGGAATGGAGAGAGAGCTTATGGGTCAGAATTAAAGGGAGCACAGGGGCAGGTGACATTATAGTGGGGGTCTTCTACAGGCCACCTGACTGGGAAAACCAAGCGGATGAGGCCCTCTATAGACAGATAGGAGCAGCCTCACATTCAGAAGCCCTGGTCCTCATGCGGGACTTCAGCCACCCCAATATCTGTTGGAGGGGCAAGAGAGCAGGGCACAAGCAATCCAGGAGGTTCCTGGAATGTGTTGATGATAACTTCCTTCTCTGAGCAGCAGAGGAGCCAACAAGGAGAGGTGCTATGCTGGACCTTGTTCGCACCAACAAGGAGGGGCTGATGGATAATGTGAAGCTCAAGGGCAGCCTTGGCTGCAGTGACCATGAGATGGAGTTCAAGATCCTTAGGGCAGCAAGGAGGACGCACAGCAAGCTCACTGGCCTGGATTTCAAGAGAGCAGA